AAAAATAACGAATAAAAAGTTACATTATTACAAACCAAATGTATTGAGTCATAAAATCGCTATTAGTGAAATAATCTGCTGACTAGTTATTTTGAGGGAATCATGAAATTAAAAAATTTAATGAACAGTAAAAGATCCTTCGAAGTAAAAATATCTGCAAAAAGGTGTCTTCGTTACACAAATGCGACATCTAAATTGAAATAACGAGATATTTATGCAGTAAAATGCCGAGTGTCGGTTGAGTTAAAGAAATTACGGGATGTGGAGTGAACATTAAGTGAAATTTCCCTTTTAACCCCGCTAAACATAATCTCGCTTTGAGAGAAGTAATTTAAATATGGCGTATGAAGCCGCTGTGGAAAGATGTTGAATATTAAATTTGTAAATAAGACGACACGTTATTGAATAGGTAAACGAAAGCTATACGCATATATGTATATATATATATACATATTTTCTTCAAACTATGTAAGACGTAAAAATCTGTAATTAATATAATACAATACAATGTTGTAGATGTGTAAACAAAGTTTTATATGGGGGTACTAGAACTAGAAGTGGCTCTGGATTTCAGCGCCAACACAAAGGCTTCCAGACTTTTAGCAACAGAAGCTTGAAGAGTTACAACAGATGAAAATATTAATATTGTAGATGAGACACGCTGTGATAGTTCACAACGCCTTTCTATTAAAATTTGTTTATTTTAGAATCATAGATACATTAATATATTTATGTAATAATTTAGCCAACAAAGGTAATGTTTGAATTTAAAAATATATTTCTGTTTTTGTCGTCCATTACTAACCCATGATTAACCTAGTACTAAGCTATTTTCTGAACCCATAGACGTCTATCACCCACTGCCCCTCTTTGACTTTAGATCGAAGTCTTATCCTTAAAACCGGAATTCACAAATACTAAATACTGCAAATACGGACAGAATAACAATTCCAGTTAATTATGTAGATACATTCAGTACATAATTATGGCTAATTTGTTTTACACGATATTACATCAAAATTGTTCATAATTTCCGGTACAAAATTACATACAAAATTGGTAGGTACCTGATTCAAAATCGATGCGAAGCATGGTAGCTAGAGAACCATTTATTACATTATTATATCTATTATATGAGGTCTTCAGCGCAAAAGTGGCCTAACCCACAATTTTTCATATTCGCGCTTATGTATTACATTATTTAAAAGATAATAAATTTTGATGCAAAACCGGCCTATCCCTAGTTTCACCCATAGATAACAAACGGCTTTGTAAACATTATGTTTGCGCGTATTGTTTTTGCCTGCGAAGCAGTGTAAAAATATATCCACGCCTTGTTATTTCCATACTACTAACTATAGTAAGCTTAAGCCACTTTTGCGCTGACGGCCTCATATATACTTAGCACATATTATGACCTTTATACTTCATATTAAAAGCCTTACTTAATTACCTTTAGTTAGATTTGACTGCTCTACTTTTCCACAACATTGCTCTGTGACGAAACTCGTTATAAGCGAGTGGTCCACATGCAAGCTCGCATTTAAGTTGTAAGGCATTAATGCACAGACGCGCCACGGCGCATGACTACGCCTGCCCACGGGTAACTTATTTCAAAATTTTTAAAACTTTTCATTAAATTTCTTGCACACATCCCTTCCTTCTATATTGCATCTTATACGTAGTCATTCCATCCATACCGGCGTTACAAAATGTGAATCTCATTCAAACTGATCTCAATTTACAATAATATTAAAATACTTTAAACGTTCTAACCAAGCCAGTTTTTGAATGTAAGACATACATTTTTAAGAGAAAATTCGCCACTAGCAATTTTGTGAACTATATTAGAGACGTTCTAAACGCATTCCGTCTACATTAAAAGAGTATCATAGTCAATTTAATTTTATAGCGATTCCGATCGATGGTCAATTCTGGGAAGCACCGCTCTTGCTCTTACTCAAGACGAGTGTTATCAATTCTCTCAACTTGGATCCGTGACCTCACCTGCATAGCTGAAATACTCCCTTAGACTATCAGGGATTAGGTAGGGGAAAATAAAAACAACAGGTCCATTGCAGCCGGCTCACTGTGCTCTGGTATTGTTGAACATTAATTTTGTACAGCTTAATTCTTCAAAGGGTTTTATTATCATTTCATTAAAGATGATTTAAAAGCTTAAGAATTTAATGTCAATTCATTCTGATCGTATATAGCAGAGTTCCTAGCCGCGGGTTATTCAAAGTGGCAACGTTAGTAAATACACCCCGTCTATTAAGCCAAGCAAAGTTAATTAATTTCATCATTAGCCTGAGCAGGAAAGTGTTCTCTGAAACAATAAAATGTATAGGGAGAAAATACAACCCTTGCTTACTGTAAGGGGGAACATAAAATATTAACTATTATTTTGGCAACAGGCGTAAGTTGACATGGCTTTTAAAATTCTATTATTATTTTACTATCTGATATAGATCTAAAAAATATGAAAATTGTAATAGTTTGATGTATGTAGTTACCTGCCTAATCTTGTACCCAGACATTTCTAATAACAAAGCATACCTAATATTATTTTTAAAAGATGATAAAACGAATCGGGTCGCTGGTTTCAAATCACCAAGTTGAAAATTCACAGTATTGTATTAGGAGGCAAACCTTCTTGTGTGTCATAGGGCTTAATACTAGAACAGCTGTAGTCTGCTATGTATGCACATAAAACACATACCTAGTACATAAACTAACAACAAAAATAATCCGACAGTTTTGCTTTATGTTTTTGCATGGCAAACTTACTGTAGAGGTATTATTTTTTTTGACTCGTCCATTAGATAGACAGAGGTTACGCATATATTTATTTTGTTAATTTAATGTATCTTCCGGTTTAAACGTTTAATACTGGTAGCTCTCTCACGGTGTCAAGTTGATTATACTTATTATATTTCATACAAACACTTCAGTACATCGAAGTACTGAAGTGTTTGTATGAAAACGTCACTATGTCAGACCGATTACAGAACTGGGCTTCGGGACCTACTTTTGTGCAGAGTGGCGTGATGCAGAGAGAGGTAATTTCTGCAAAACTGTGATGTTTGCCAAATTTTAGACTGGAAAAGGCTAGACTTCAACATCAACGGTGAGTACATAACATAGCTTTGGTCTGTTTTTTTTCCTACCTATGCTGATAGCCTTAAGAGGCTATTTCAGCTTCACCCTAACGTTTGTAGGTGAGCTCACGGGGCTCAAACCTGACGACGTTGCTAACACGAACCCTAGTAAGAGCCGTGCTTCGCAGAATCTACCACTGGATCGAAAACGCGACCCACTGAGAAGATCCGGCGAGAAACTCAGTGGGCTGTGTCTGAGAGTTAATTTACTCATCGAACCCTTCGTCACAAGCGACGGGTTCGACGAGAACGGTGACCGGTGCTTGAGGTACGTAAAAGCACCGTTACTGGGTCGGGAGGATCCGTAATGACGTGTTTGGGGCGACGTCGACTGCTTTCCATTCTTTCCGCAGGATCGGGAATGTAGTTACCGGCGGCCACGATGAGAGGGTTCTCGTGTCGTGCCGCTTTATCGAAGTAGGCTTCGGTCTGCCGAGGATATTCTGGTTACAACTGAGACATTGGAGGACATCCTTACCGTTGGAGCCAAAAAGCTCTCGAGGAGCGACCGCGTACCGGAAGACATAGCGTGGGTAGGCCTCCCACAAGTTGGACCGACGCCGCGACGGTCCGTTGAATGACGCGGGAATCCGCTAGATGCAAGCAGCGCTGGACCATTCGTTACGGCAAGGCTTAAGGGAGGCTATGTCCATCTGTGGAGGTCATTGGGCTAAAAGAATAAGAAGAAAACTGGTAGCTTATTACCCATTTACAATCTGTGCCAGTACACAAGTATGGGTAAAAAAAGATGTGTGGTGTCGTAGTACACCGGATAGAAACGAAGTTCCTTAATATAAAATATTCATTTTAAGTTCAATTCGGGGTATAAAGAAAATAATTATTCGGGTATAAATTTTTTATTATGATTTTTTTATTGATAAAAAAAAAAACATTACAAAGCTAACAACTTTATTTTATTCACAATGATTTATAAAAAATATATAATAAAAATATGTTATTCTTTGTACCTGACTACAAAGTTAAGTCGTACACTGTGTGCATTACTAATAAAAATCTTACGTTACGGACGTTTTTTCCCGGTTAGGGTACCCCTCCAAATCGTACCCTATGGAAGGTCGTTCCAATATTATAAAAATAAAATCGTTAAGCACGTCTTCTAGAGTTCTTCCCATATATTAAGTGTATAATCTATGGTTCTTCCCAAATGCTTCAATACGTTCCCACCATCTTATTGAAACATTATATTTAGTGTAACCCACACAATTACGTTTCCTGTCCTGGTGAAGCTAGAAAGGCCTCCGGGCCACCAGTAATCCTTCAATCATAAAAAAACAACAATTACGTTTATTGTAATGTAAGACTGAAGCCATGATTTTATTAATTAATGAAACGGAGCGATGAGATTTTCTTGGTTTTCGTTTTCTGTACTTCACAATTCCTACTTACAAGCTCCGCTTATTAAGTTAACGTTATCGGTAAATAAAATTGTTCATATTTTCTTTACGTTCCCGCCAAGTTTCAATGTTGGCATGTTTATCTCCTTGTCGATTAACCGGTAGTTTTACGCAAAAGTGTATCTTCAAAGAAATCGAGGGATATAATTCTATGCAGATGTCTCAAAGCTAAGCAGGATAAGCATACTTCTTGATCCAAAGTGGTGGTATATTTGAATCGCAAGTCTGGGTATTCTATAATGTTTTGTTTAATAAATTTTGATACCTGTCTTTCGAAATATGACAACACTAATGACAGATAATTCGCAAGGACTCAAATTATTAGAACTGGTATTAATTTTATTAAGCTAGGCTGTATATTCTGAAAGCCGTCGACAGTGAGTTATTATAATAAATAAACAAAAATTCACATCCACATCCACATTCCACATGTGATCGAGTTTAAAATTGATTAAAAACAATACAAAAACTAATATTGTATATTATATATGTGCAGTTCTCTAAGAAACATTAATCAAGATGCGCTTTAATATTAAACAAGTAAACTGTGGTAGTGAACGCATTGGCTCTTTAACAGGATTTATTAAATCATCTAAAACTATTATTGAAACTCCAACTGCCGCCTTATTGACTCAGGTTTGTTTTCAAATAGTTAAAACATAAAAAAAACGCGTGGCTGAGATTATTACTTTTCTGAACTACTATTAGGACCACTTTTATTTAGCTAGAAAATAACTTATATAATGCTTTGCTCAAAAGAAATTCCTACATTACAAATTTTATTCTAACCTTTGAAGGCATCTTCTATATCACAATCAAAGAATTAAATTTTTCATTCGGAAATCTTTTCGGCAGGTTTCATTTATGTTAAATTTCCATATCTAAATTTTAGTGCAGTAGTGGCATTTATTTGTGATATATTAAAATCCTCAAAACAGATCACAAATACAAAATACATACCATATTCAATAGATAACCAGCAATAATTAAATATTTAAAAATAAAAACATGTTAAAACTGTTTGTGTGATATGTTAATAATGATTACAGTTTTAAATTCTATAAATAATTCAAATGTTTTTTCATGTCAAACAAAACTTGCATAGAAATGATGTCATAAAATATAACTAATTATCATTGATGCCCTTTGTTGCTTAGTTGTTTTTACAAATGTTACCACACTTAATGCAGTTGCATTCAGTTGTGATTTGTATTGATTGCTAAAACAATTTTTAAATACCGTAACTGTCACGTATACAAAAATAGGATAAGATACATCCATAACATTGTTCATGCCTATTAGCAGTGATGACTAAGTTTTGTCTGTTAAGCTGATAGATCTTAATCTATACTAATGTATAAATATCTACAGTGGTTTTTTACTGATGTTCCATTATAACTACTGAACCATGCATCCGATTGACTTGAAACATGTATCTATGTAGAAAATACATATACTTAATGAATAGGCTAATATTTATATGAGAGTTGGACTCCTTAATAATAATGTTAATTTTAAATGCCCAGTGAAGCGGGTGAGTACGGCTAGTAAAAATATGGACGCTTGAAAGGCAAACATGACTAAGCGACAATAACTGTTTTGTACATAAATGGTAGGAAATAACCAAATTCGATGCGCAAAAAAAATATATTTCTAGGTCTATTAAAATCATTTCAATCCTACAGCTACTAGCTAGGTTCTACTACAGCTAAATTCGTTAAAATAAATTTTGTTTTCAGGTATTTCAACTTTAAATTAGTCTACTGTAAAGTTCACGCATTGTCGCTTAGTCACGTTTGCCTTTCAAGCGTCGATATATAATGGTATTATTTAAAATTTATTGTTTCAGGGGGGCAGTGTAGTTCATCTGACAGCTGAAGTGTTAGCTAAAGTATTCCCTGATACACAATTATTATGGCTCCCATTATCCAACTCAGTTCAATTAGAAAATGGAGTAAAAGCCCAAGGAGAAGGTGTTGCAAAGTTTGCTGGATTACCGAAACATGTAATATGTGCGACTTTATATAACATAAATGAAATAGTTCCACCTGGGCATTTTGAACTAGGCAAATTGCCACTTTGGACTAAGAATGGAAAGAAAATGATAACTGCAGATAAGTATGAATTTGCTTTTATTTAGTAATTAGCTTTTTATTATTAAAAATAACTTTTATTTCGGTGCCTCCAATGAACACTACTCTAACTTAAAATTTTGAAATTTTCGTTTTTCACGCAAATCGCTTCGCTATTTTAAAAGTATTACAAATCATTATTGATGGGGTTCGAAGCAAGAGTAAATCAGCTAGTTACACAAAAAAAAAACCATAAATATATCTGCAATAATAAAGATTTTATCAACTTTTTTCGTTTAAACGCTCCTCCTGTAAACCTACGAATTTGGAGTTCGCGTAGTGCTCATTGGAGGCATCGATTTGTTACACATGTGGGTGAACAGCTCACCACCCACTCAGCTTATAGTGGCTACTATTAACTCATAAGCATCAAACAATAATACTTGCTGTCACCTACTACAGAAAATGAGGTCATAATCTTGACTGTAGAGTATAAATATTGTCACATCTGTTTCACATAGAGGCCTTAACTGCTTTGCAGCAGAAATAGGCAATATGGTGTTACCTTGTTGAGTAGACTTAAGACTATATATTAACTATTTAAATTTTTTAAATGCATAACACATAAAAGACCTAGAACCTGAAACTGAAATCCTTAATAAAATATTGAATCCAAATCTTTAATCTGAAAATCTAACTCTGATATATAGTGAAATACTTGTTCAATAATCAGGTTTATTAACCACTGCAAACAAAGTGGAATGTTGATTTATTAACAAACTTTTAATCACATCAAAAAACTCAAAACTTAATATTGCAGTCACCTGACCATACCTCACTCTTCCTGATAGGAAGTGTCATTTTTAGATTATAATATCTGTTAAATTGTCATCCAAATTCTGGGATTCAGGCTTTTCCAGTTTTCTCCTGTTTAATAATAGAAAAAGATATCCTGCACTCAGTACATATTGAAAAGTGGTATTTGGAACAAATTATTTTTTTAATTCATGTACACAAGTCCAATTTATTGTCTGCTCATCATATGTAGAGATTTACTTTTCATGTAAAAAGTAGATCTTTGCTGTTTAAATCATTATCAACCAACACTCTATATTTATAGGTCTAACAATAGAGTGGGGTAGCTGTTGATACTTCTCTGCAAATCGATCTCCCTAAATGCGCCTTCTTGTGGGTAGAAGGAATTTTATGAGCACCATCAATCTCTGTCATCAATTATCTTGATAGCCTTAGATAGTTGAAAAATTACTTCCTCTGCTATGAAAAGTGATGAACTAAAAAAATATATAAGAATTACAAAATTTAAATTTTCAGATATATGGATTTAATGGAGACATTTAAACCTGATATAATTTTGGCTGCTTCAGATGGACGTATCTCTCTAAATGAAAAACCAAAAAGAATTGTCAAGTCTGTAGAGAGGACAATAGCTTTGCTTGATTCATGCATAAATAAATATAAAGCTTCTGAAGAACTTCAACAAAGCTCACTTGTAGGTTTGTAATTTTATCATAAACCTAACATTGTTTTTGTTCAATTTTTGTCAGATAGAATTCAATACTGAGGATTAAAGATACGCTAAAGAAGTAAAGTCCATACATGTAAAATGTATATGTATAGGATATACAATAAATTATGCAAAATAATGTAACATGTGAAGAAACCTAATTAAATATATTGATAGGTGTGATAGTTGCTGCGAACATACCACATAAATGTGAGGAATGCATCCGACATATCCTGAAATACAAAGAAACATTAGTTGGAGTTGCATTAGCTGGTCTTACTGATGGAAGCAAGGAGTCATATGAAATTTCTCTTGATAAGCTGAAAGAAATTTTCAGTAGAGTTGGTGTAAGTAAAATATTAATAATTGAATAAGGACTGTTTACACTTACGTATTTTTCTTAAGACAATAGACACATTTAAAATTATAGACAACAACAATATCAATAAATTATAGATTATAATATTGTAATCCTTATTATTACTTTATGATGTGTTTAGAAATTGTTTTTTGGGTTTCAGGGCTCACTACCAAATGATCTACTTCGTATTGTTGAAGGTTCTTGGAATCCTGCAGTCATAGTAACAGCAATAGAGTATGGCTGGGATGTGTTTGATGGTTCATATCCAATAAAACTAACAAATAAGGGACATGCATTGTCTTTAAATTTTGATGTGTATCGATATAGTGGAGATCCGTGTATCATGGACCTTAATGACATTAGGTATAATAGATATTTAAGATTTAGACAAGCAGCTCTCATTATATTAAGAGGCAACTGAAGCCTGTAGACCTTAAATACTTAGTGCTGATACCGGTGATTGTAATACATAATAAAGTAGCTTCAAGTCTTCATTATATTTCAATATGTACCTAGCATTCAAGTTAGTACAAATTAATCTTATTTGTTACCTTATTAACTGTACTTCCAAATCCCATAACAGATGCCAATTTTTTAAGTAAATATTTAACACATGCTCATGAATAATTTCCATGCTAAAGAAGATCACATGATTAAAGAAAATGTGAAAATTAACAAAAATATCGAATAACATGTCATGATGTCTACCGTCGCTGAGGTAAACCATCAGTTACGCCCATCTAGAGCATAAAAATACTTCCAATTAGTAAGGAGTTACAATGCAGCTTTGTATTTTGACTTGTTTTATTAACTCTACTAATAAAAAATGCACAAAATGAAAGTTTTCTCACAATAATTTCAGGTATAATGAAGATTTCAAACCTATACTGGAAGGATGCGAATGTTTGACATGTAAAAAACACACACGTGCATATATTAGGCATCTTTTAAATACAAGAGAGATGCTGGCATCTGTTTTGTTGAGCATGTAAGTTATAAATATATTGTTACAATGTTATTAATATTCTTTTCAGGACTCCAGTTTTAAATTTTAATTTTATATTTACATATTTATTATGTTATGTCAAAATAAATATATTCTTTTGTCTCCTCTCTGGATGATTCTAAATAATATCTTCTCTACCACCGGCGTGTCCCATAAATTTTTAATTTATCACTGGAAATGGAGGCACTGTAAATTTATCAAAATCGTCCACAATTATTATCATGCTGATTAGAGAAATACATCAAACACATTTTACATAACAAACAAACACTAAGAAATTCAAAACACAATATCAATATTTACACTGTAATTTTCAGTCACTCAATTTTGTCTTTGCAAATTTTATTTGGAAAAAAAGCCACAGCTGATTTTTCTCGCCAACCAACATCTAAAAAGATAATTTGTATTTTCAGACACAATCTACATCATTTCAATGAATTTTTTGTGCAAGCTCGTCTACACATCAGCGCCTCTACATTTAATATTTACAAGAAACACATTATAACACAATATGAAAATATAAATCCGAAATTGGATAATGAAGAAAACAAGACAGCTCCAGCTCTTGTGCAGGATAAAAAGAAAATTAAAGTGAGAATTGATGATAATGTCAAGACTGAAGTTAATGGTACAATTATAGAGTAGTTTCTATTCGTAAGCGGAGTTAGGAACTACACCTAGATAGTATTATGTAATTATGAATAGATTAATATTCTAGAATAGATTGAAACAAATATTGTCTTAGTTCAGTGTGATGACAGCAAAATGTTAAATTTACGTAAATGTATAATTTTGTTACAAACCACCTTCAAAAACTTCTAATGTATATTTGCCATTATGATTTTTTTGTCATCTAGCTAAATATCTGTAAAATAATGAAATCTATTTTGGAACGAAGTTCCTTACGGGACGATTCGGAGGGGTACCCCAACCGGGAAAAAACGTCCATAACGTAAGATTTTTTATTAGTAATGCACACAGTGTACGACTTAACTTTGTAATAACGTACAAAAAATAACATATTTTTTTATCATTCATTGACCACGATCTCAGAGCGTTCGTTTGCGCAATACACTAACTCTTATGCAAACAATCGTGAATGAAGTGTACCACAATAAGTTCGCACGTTACCGAATGATCGTGGGCTGTTGCTAAACCTCCAGTTTTATTTTCTTTATACCTCGAATAGAACTTAAAATTAATATTTTTATAATAAGGAACTTCGTTCCTATCCGGTGTCCCACGACACCACACATCTTTTTTTTCTATATTAGAATATTTGTCGAGTTTGCATAATAACTAGGTTATGTGTGGTACAACAATCTTAGAGAAACATATTAGAATTCATATGTAGCGTATTTTAATTTAACGAAAGAGCCATCTATTCAGTCGAAGAATTCTTTGAGTAGTATCTTATTATAAAAAGTTATAAAAAACAATTTCTTAGAAAATTTAAATCGACAAATAGAACGTGAATAGACTTGTCTGTCTGTGACTTTTGCGCATGCCTAATATTCATTAGAAATGGAATGGAAATTAGATCTAAATTGGTTAAGGCATTGGCCTAAACTAATTTAGATCTAATTTCCATTAAATGTTACGTGTTAATTATTATACCTATTATTAATTTAATTTTAAATAATGTTATAACAAGAGTAGGTATCTAAAAAGAACGTCACGCGTGCCCTTTAACGTTTGGTCTTCATATGGAGGAGAAAGAAGTTTCGTTTGGCTGCTTGTTCGGGGCATGTTATTATGACATTAGCAGTAATTAGTAGGATACTTGTAAATGACACATATTTAATGTGGTCCAGTATAGATGCGTTCTCGTATGTTCTAAAACATTCCATGTACGTGTAAGTATTGAAAATTCAAAAGTGGTTCACGATTCGTAATTAGAACTTTTGAAAAAGTCACAAATATCAACTATTTTTTTTTGTTTTTTTTTTCGTTTGAAATTGGAACAAGTTTTTAATGACACAAAATCAAGAAATACGTAAAACCGAAGAGGTATAAAATTGTAGACGTTGCAAATACATCACCCGGACAACGCGATTTTCGAATAGTTTTTTTCAAAGCAGCAAGTATATAATATATAGTTTGTTAAATACACCTCCATAAATGTGATATTAGGAAGACGACATTCTTTCGAGTGTCAAATACGGTCCAAATCTTATCGAATGACCATTTAAAAAAAGTTTTCTATTCGAAAATTATTAATATTGGTTTAGTCATCTTATGATGCTTGTGATTAAGATGACTCTGTTGTTGAATAGTAATAACGGTCAGATTTTTATATTGACACTGAAGGCATAATGAATATCAACAATTTCAGCGGTTTTAATAATATTAAAGATCCCCAAGCGACCAATTGTAGGATAAGATTTCTTTAAAGACTTTACAACACGAAAACAATTTAAAAGTAAAACTGGTTTTTTTTATAGAGACAATCTTTCTACCAACTGATTTATAGGTTTTATAGTTTTTTATGGTTAAGAGTGCGGATAGAGATTTTTTGTTCTCCACTTGATACTGTTATTGATAATTTATTTCAAAATTAATAGTTAATCAAACTGTGTTTTGTTTTTGGATGTTTCCATAATTCTTGTGTGGAACGTAAGCTAAACAACATTTTCGAAATTCAACATGCAAAAGTTCTGAGAAGGCCTAACGAAATAAACTTAATGGTCTAAGCTTTTAGTGCCATTTAAAAAATAAATATAATTTACACATTATGTATAGTATCAAATTTATTCGTTCGGAACGTTTTAAATAGTTGCAGTGAGTGGATTGAGAGTTTTATTTTGACGCGATTACTGTAAGCGACATTAAAAAAACACTTTTTGGTATTATTATCAAATGCATACATCACAGCGAAATGCTTCTGGTAAATATATGAGTCGTCTATTATCAAAGGTGGCAATCTGTGCATTTGGACAAAAAAAAATTATTGATATGTCAATACAGATTGATTTGAATATAATCGTCTCCTTCAAAGAATACGGTTCAAAACCTGCATTAAATAAAGGTTAATAGTTAACCTGTTATTTATCTAAGATGTCGTTCCGAAGAGTTTTGTGACTGCCAATGGAATACAAAGTCAATAATTCGTTTTTCTGATTTACCAATCATTGTCCAAAAGTCAGATTGCCGGCTTTGATAATAGTCGACTCATATAACGTTATCATGTATTATATTTTGAGGTCGCAGACAACCCACTGAATTTCTCGTCGAATCTTCTCAGTGGGTCGAGATTCTGACCTGATTGTAGACACAGCGAAGCATTGTTCTTGCTAGGGCTAGTGTTAGCAAGTTCTCCCAGGCTAGGCCTTGTGAGCTCAACCTACCCTCCCTACCCTACCCTACCCGTCCGCGCGTAATTTGAATAGCGAAATTAGGCTACCGACGATTAAGTAGGGACATATGAGTCGTCTATTATCAAAGGTGGCAATCTGTGCATTTGGACAAAAAAATATTATTGATATGTCAATACAGATTGATTTGAATATAATCGTCTCCTTCAAAGAATACGGTTCAAAACCTGCATTAAATAAAGGTTAATAGTTAACCTGTTATTTATCTAAGATGTCGTTCCGAAGAGTTTTGTGACTGCCAATGGAATACAAAGTCAATAATTCGTTTTTCTGATTTACCAATCATTGTCCAAAAGTCAGATTGCCGCCTTTGATAATAGTCGACTCATATGATGTATTTTTGTTACAATAAGTTTTCGTCCATCAAGTTTTAATATTAAGTTGTTTATTTTTTCTTTAGTGTTTTTTTTTTATGACGCTCCGATTGTATAATTCCATGCGTACTACTTATCTAAAATTAACTTAATATTTAGTGATTGAGTATTTAGTAACCAAATATATAAATTAAGAGTTCATTTGCATCACATACCTATTATTTATTAACTAAGATTAAATTAAATGTTTTGTTCTAGCGATACTTAACCAAAAAACTGGGTAAAAATACCAAAATTTTATGTTTAAAAACAAGTTTACAAATTCCCTGTGATATATTATATCTTTAAATTGAGTACTTAGAAATAATTCGAGGTCAGGTTATTGGGAATACGATTTCCTGCGTCCAGCATAAACAAATTTTTACCATAGAAATTTCCTGATTAATGTTGTTGAATCCCAATGGATTGTGATAATATTTAGGAAAACCGCAATGGATTGTGATAATATTTAGGAAAACCGCATAAGAATCGTTTTTACGTTAGATATACGTCAGCTCATAGCCAACCCGGTGGATGTTACCGGAACCCATAGATATCACAATGTGAATGCTGCCACCCAGTGATACGAGATGTAAGACACGGTTGTATAGGCAGAAATAGGCAGGATGGTAGTATCTACCCGTGAGGAGCCATACCACTAGTAATTTCGCAAATAATAATATCTCTGTTAATCAGTAAAGCCATTTTACTTAATAGAAAGCCTGGTAGTGTTACTTTTTGAAATAAAATGTTTATCTTAACTCTTTGGTATTAAGTTTTATACTAATCAACCATGCTGTTCAGAAAGCAACAATGTACTTTTGCGAAACGAAAGTAGGTACGTTTCAAGATATTAAAAATCAATATAAATGGCCTTTCATGTGATAGTTTATTTATTTAACTACCTCCCATAATAAAATTCCTCAAGCTATGACCTGATGTCAGAAGAAAGTTCAATTCGCCTTAAGACTAACATACCATAAACCTTAGCGACGAATTCGAAAAGAAAACAAAACATCGCTCATCGGTTGTAAATAAGTACACAGAAATTCCTGAAACTGTAAAGATTAATCGAATGAACGAGCAGTGTTGCTGGAATCAGGGCCGGATTTAGACTTAATGCCGCTCCTGGGCACCGGAAAAAAAACTGCCCCAATACTGGAATTTTAACTAAACTTATAGTTTATATATTTTATTTTTCAAAATTAAAATAACAAATTTATTGCAGAAACTTTATTATAATATGTTATATATGTATTCCAAAAACAAATAAATATTTGTTTTTTTTTCTAACAATTATAAATTTTGCACTAAAGGTGACTCATAATTATATTACATCGAAAAAAAAAACTTGACTGAATTTCTTTAATTCCAGAAAATGGCAAAATCGATTATCATTTTAAATGTCCAAGGAAATAAAATTGATTAAATCATTTTGATTATTAATTTTTACTAAAAGTGCCAAAATTATAATTCACAAATAATGGATGAATTGAATTTGTTGAATTATCAATAAAACAAAAAATTATAACTTAATAGAATTAATTAATTATATTGAGCAATCTTGATAAAACTAAAAAAAAAATACTTTCAACATTTTGCCGCCCTGGGCACTTGTCCCGACTGCCCCTAGTGCAAATCCACTACTGACTGCAATCCTAAATATAAAATGAATATAAAAAGATATTCACAAAAGAACATTGCGGCGAATTGAATCGTTGTTTTGTGATTGAGGAAGATTTAAATTAAAATTACCAGAACTCCGAGTTATTATTTACGATAACCATACGACTTGAAGACAGCCATGTTTAAAATGATCACTTTATTTATACTATTTTGGGTCGACGCCGGACATTTTACGGTTACAACGAGTTAATTCAGCTTTAATTGATTTGCAATTCAAATGCTTTGTTTGGATATTGGATATGTTACGATATAAATTATGGTTTACAATAAAATATACAGATTCCTGTATAAGTCCCGGTTACGTTCTTCATCATGAATGTTCAATAAATAGTATAGAACATATTAAACCCCGCCAGGGCGTAACGAATAGGTAGGAAAAAAGGCAATTAAATTAAATACAGACCAAAAACGTTTTGCAAAGAATTTACATTAAATATGCACAAGTGTGTGTTTTTTTTTTGTCTGATCCAATAGGTACCTATCGTATAACAATTGTGCAAATTAAATAATTTGGTTTATTGTTTATCAATTTATTTATCACAATTTTATGGCAAACCTATGAATGTAAAACCTGCGTTTTTTTTATGATATAATAAAAAATTTGAAACACCTTCCATTTGATTTGATGATTTAATACCAATCGATGTTTAGCTTTTAATTTGGAATAATAAAATTTAAAACCCATTTTTTTGTATTATTTTTGGACCTATCTTCATTAAAAGTTGATATGATCGCCCTCGAAATCGCACGTAATTTAGCTGGTTTTCATATACAGGATTGGGTTTAATTAAAAAAAAAATGTTTCGAAAATAGTTCTAAAAGGATGTAAAAAAATACGGTGACGTCATGAAACATTGAGAACAACCTCCAACAACGGCTTAAGAAAATTGATTTATTGTCTTGATTTATGTATTTTCTGGGTGTGTTAAATTTTTTATAAACGTAAAAAAATATGAATAAGCTACTAATTCATACTGATATTATAACTACGATTGAATGCAACTATGTAGGTATATTACGTTTAAAAAAAATCTCGTAGTATTTCGAACTTTGGAAGTTATTTATGCTAAGATTCATCTCACTGCTGCCTATGCAATATAAAATGCAGTCCGCGCGGTCGGAATGCCAGTTAGCAATAGATATTTTTTTCCACAATACTTAACATATATTCCATGGTAGGACGTCTTGTGAGTCCGCACGAGCCGCCTATTTCTGCCGTGAAGCAGTAATGCGTTTCGGTTTGAAGGATGGGGCAGCCGTTGTAACTATACTGAGACCTTAGAACTCATATCTTAAGGTAGATTATGGCATTTACGTTATAAACGTCTATGGGCTCCGGTAACAATTTAACACCAGGTGGATCGTGAGCTCGTCCACCCACCTAAGCAATAAATTAAAAAAGTAGGTAATAAGTACTTCTTTTTTTCTATGAATATTTATTCGTCCAGCTGTTTCAGCAAATAGGCTGTAATCACCGAACTGTGGTAAGAACTTGCTGGTTAAAAATAAAAAAATTAAAGGCAGTCAGTTCTCTGAATGCACAAAAAAATTTTTTTTGTCAAATCTTCACAAACGTCTTTTTGTTTTAAAAATACCAACCTATTCTTTTCGACCCTTCTTTTTTTGTATTTCAGGGTGATCAATATTTAACTGAATTAAGATACCTAGTCAGGTCATAAGTATTGTCACACAGTAAAAACTTTTCTTTTAGAATGCTGGCCACAAAAAAGTTTATTGAATTCGAATTTCGAATTGTTCAGGAAAATAAAAATGTATACTTTTAGAATTTTACTCATTTTTAAATATGGAGTGGACGCTTAAAGAAGACCGTGTTGCAGTTAGTGCGTTGCATCGTTGCGGTTACGCGCCAATTCGAATTTTTAACATACTGAAAATTTAGAATATAACCAAAATATTCGTTTATCGTACCATCAAACGATACAATGAAGACTCTAGTGTAGATGACAGGTCAAGAAGTGGTCGCCCTCGGTCTGTTAGGACTCCAGCAGTGATAAAAGCTGTGAAGGCGCGAATTCAAAGAAATCCCAAACGTAAGCAGAAACTGTTAGCCCTTCAGATGGGGTTAAGCAGAACCACGGTGAAAAGGGTGTTAAATNAGGTGGGGCGGCCCCGGGTCTTGAAAACACTCGCCTTGCGGCGAGGCCCCAACTTCTCGGACCTGAGCGGTTCTATTGAACACAGGTGGCAATGCGGCGCGATTACTACAGGACAAAGAAAAAGCACAACAAAACAGAAATTACGAAAAGAAACAAAACAAATAAATACTTGCAGGAAACCACTTTGTCGGCAGATGTACCACGAACACAGAAACAACAAAAGTTAACAAAACAAATAAAAACTTCCAGAAAGAGCACTTAGTCGGCAGATGTACCACAAACACAGGCCGCGCGAACAATGGCCGGGCTAACAAAAGCCGGGCGAACAAAGACCGGGCGATCGAGTGGACGATGAGCACGTCCGCACGTGACGGGTGCCTCTATCGGAATGTCAGACGTACTGTAACGACGGTACTATTATTCTGCCTATTTCAGCCCCTAAGCATTACCTTGTTTCCAATTGAAAGGTGATACATTACAGCTAATAGTTAGGCCGCCTGTCTGAAGATTGATATTCATGTTCTAATGTTGTAAGGGTTCCAACGACGACTAGGTACATACAGAAAAGCTTGTCCACAAAAAAAAAATTCAAGAGTTGTACTTTTCCTGTTTCTATACGGTGTATATAAAGCTGTGTGCGTTGTTTGAAATATATTCGAACGAGCCGCCGAATGTGAATTGTGTTCCTACCTACGCATACATTTTAACCAAAAGAATGCAATCTTTAATTTAAAATCCCAAGGTTAAATGACTTGCAACAGGTTTTGTTACTGCATCGGTTAAGATTTAACCTCTAGGAATGATTAAAGGTTTCTCAGTCGTACGAATACATTAGTTGTACTTTTTTTATTTTTTTTATTTAATTTATTTATAACTTTATATATGAGTCGTCTATTATCAAAGGTGGCAATCTGTGCATTTGGACAAAAAATTTTTATTGATATGTCAATACAGATTAATTTGAATATAATCGTCTCCTTCAAAGAATACGGTTCAAAACTTGCATTAAATAAAGGTTAATAGTTAACCTGTTATTTATCTAAGATGTCGTTCCGAAGAGTTTTGTGACTGCCAATGGAATACAAAGTCAATAATTCGTTTTTCTGATTTACCACTCATTGTCCAAAAGTCAGATTGCCGGCTTTGATAATAGTCGACTCATATACTAGAAAGTATAAAGGAGGACTTAATGCCACAGGCATTCTCTAACCGTCTACCTTAGGGGAGTGCAGAGATGAACCTTGGTAGGTGTAGTGTGAAGGTGATATTACTTAAACATATGTGTATATATAACATACATAATATTTATAGATACAAATACTCGTACTTAAATAAATACATATAAATATCATAAATATATACATATAAAAACATATATAAACAAATATTATCAATTAGATGACTGCTAACTCTCTGAGAAACAGTTCTCGAACCTTCGTCTTAAACGCTTCACGTGTAGTGGCCGACCTTATTTTGAGTGGGAGCGCATTCCATAGAAGAATAGACTGAATAGTGAATGAAGAATGTAAAAAGTCAGAACTATGTGGAGGACAGCGAAGAAGAAGATTGTGAGATGAACGAAGATTTCGGCTGTGTTCAGACCCTAAGTATTGAAAGGAAGTATGTCTATACTAATATTATAAAGAGGAAAGATTTGTTTGTTTGTTTGTTTCGAATAGGCTCCGAAACTACTGGACCGATTTGAAAAATTCTTTTTCCATTAGAAGCCGACATTGTCCCTGATGAACATAGGCTACTTTTTTTATTTTTTTTTTATTTTTTTTTTGGTTTCATGTGTGTTTTAATGTTTCCGAAGCAAAGCGAGGGCGGGTCGCTAGTAGTTAAATAAGCAGGTGGATTTGGGGAGTGCAACAAAGAGTAAAGAGTACTGAGAGCATGCAAGCTACGGCGTATTTGTATCTATTAAACTTGAATTATAATCAAGTTTAAAAAAATATGTTCTGCTTCATAGATTAAAACTTCGCTGACAGTTCAAAGACAGTCAAAAACAAAAAGGCGAAAATAAATCAAACAAGTTTCAATAACTACCTAACTGTTTAGTTGGAGAGTTATTTATGTCTGTTTCTGTATTTAATCGAGAAATTAAGTATTTGCAGAGTGTATTAAAATTAAAACTGTTTGTACAACTGTGATGTCGGCTGTTTTAGAGAAAAAAAACCTTGGAAAAGTTCGATTAATATTGTCGAAGTTTGTATGTAAAGGAGTTTAGATTCTCGTATTATTAAGACATTTAATGATTTATTTCTGCGAAAAAAAATCCTACCCACTGAACCGACCTCAGACGGTATAAAAGTCGATTTGTGTTTTAATAAGAACGCGAGCATAAAAACACTTTTTTTTTATTGCTTAGATGGGTGGACGAGCTCACAGCCCACCTGGTGTTAAGTGGTTACTGGAGCCCATAGACATCTACAACGTAAATGCGCCACCCACCTTGAGATATAAGTTCTAAGGTCTCAGAATAGTTCCAACGGCTACCCCACCCTTCGAACCGAAACGCATTACTGCTTCACGGCGGAAATAGGCGGGGTGGTGGTACCTACCCGTGCGACTCCCAAGAGGTCCTACCACCAGTGACACAAATACGATAGATGGCTACACTACATGAGCTCCATGGAAAATTGTACATTATATTATGCTCATTTCCCGTTACCATAACTAAACAAACAAAATAAATAACTATGAAAGTTTTCGTTAGTGTGTCAAAATTCTGTTCCTTTAAAATGTTTAAATTGAATTATTTGATCGCTTGTCATTTGTTTGACGCTATGTATAAAATACGCTTCATAAACTTAACTTTATAGGTAATTTGATTATTTGAGGAAACGTCTTTTTTTTTCTGAGAGCAATTCTAAATATATTTTTTCATTTGCAGACCAGAACCTAAAAATTCAGGTGTTCTTAAATAATTTTAGCAGCGTTAGGTATTTATTTTAATAAAACACAATATTTTAAACACCTTTTACATATATTTTACTGATAATATTTACAAATGTTTTTTAGGTGACCACACTTATTCAGCTAGGCGTAGACATTGTATGAATCGTGCAACAAGTTATTACAATGTAATTGAATTACATTAATTATGTAAAGAGTAATTATGTTTTTATAAACTTATATACGGCATTTGGCAGGATTTCGCTTGACAAATACAAATTCCAAATTTCCTTTCTATTTTCAAATCACATACTTAGCACGAACGTGTGATTCAAAAACAACTTTTACATAAAATATTTTATATATTACGTTAAACTGTAATAAATAACAATTGTTTTACAAATAAATATTAGATAACAAACATTTAAATTGATAATAAAATTTATCTAATGAAATTAATTTAATTACACAGTGTGTATCAGGGATTGGCACAAAAATTGTAGATTACCGTAATCATTAGTCTATATTTCATATTAATTCCAATAAATAATTACAATTTATGTTAAAAAATCTACAGGAGAGACTTAATATTTTTCCTAATGTTATACTTTGAAAGTTGTATAATCAGTACATTTGTATCTGTTACAAAACAAAAAGGATTTTAAATTAATATATTTTTCTATTTTCTAATACAAAAACATTTTATTTGTTCGAAGCACGACATTACTACGTGATCATAATATCTAACTAAAATAAAATATGTATAGTAAATTAACAACAAAGCTGAAAAGTGATGGAAAAGTTCGCCATTAAAGCGTCATTTCGTTAAATAATTAAATATTACAAAAATCTCTATACTATTCACAGTCTAATGAGAAATTTTACTTATAGGAAAAACCGATCTTCTCTAAGCGAACGTGTGATACAATAGCCTCCCCGTGATTTATATTCATTACAAGACATGATAGCAAACCAAATATAACCTTAAATGAGATCCTTCCTCGGCTTGACGTATGAAAGAGCGCGAAAAGAACTTTGTTCTGAAGCGTTACACTTAACACTGCACTAACGCCATCTAGAGTACAACTACAGTAGCTTAGTCCCGTTCACTGGTTAGAACTATTCACGTCATGTATCACGTCTCCTTCTTTTTCTTTTCACATTCAATGATATCGAAACGTATTTACTGCCGACACGGACACTATACGAATTCTGTATTCGGCTTATTGAGTGGTTCTTGGGCCTGTTGAAGAAAAGAAAAAATGTGAATTATATTTTTATGAACTATAACAATACACAGTTGCTTTATGACCACGATATGGGTTGCCAACCTGGTAAAGGGCATATGAGGTTTCCAGGGTTTGTTGTCTTATCTATAAATCTAATATCGCGTACATATCCATCAGAGACGGTAACCAATTCAGAGGCATTTCTTGTTTTCTATTTTTATTGATTGCTTAGATGGGTGGACGAGCTCACGACCCACCTGGTGTGAAGTGGTTACCGGAGCCTAAAGACATCTACAACCTAAATGCAGCCACCCATCTTAAGGCAGGAGTTGTAAGCTCTCAGTTTTAACAGTAAAACGGCTGCCCCACGCTTCAAAACAAAACGCATTGCTGCTTCACGGCAGAAATAGGCGGGGTGGTGGTACCTACCTGTGGGGACTCATAAGACGCCCTACCACCAGTTAAATTAACTAGTAAGTCTTCTTTGATTTCAAGTTTCGATAATTTTACTAATGTCACTAAACGTGTAAATATTCATAAAGATATTGAAAAGAAATTAATCATGTTGAATCATTAGACTAAAGGGAATATTGTTCACAATACTTTATAAAGTTTGGTTTCAATAGTTACAAAGAACTCACCGTAAAAAGCCCTCGTACGATAATGCATGAAAAATAATTTGTTTTTGCGAATAAAAGTGTGTCAACATAAAAACATTTTATATGTAAGTACGTAACTTAGTCAAACAATAACAAAATAGCTCTCAAAAGGGACTATTTACAGCGTATCAACTACCATTTAGAATTAATAATTTGGCAACTACATATTAATACTGATGCGGTAAAAATGTTGGCACATTTATAAATTTCGCCACGATTAATCTAAACGAAAATATCTTCTATCTTAAATAAATTTTAGTTAATACAATTCTAAATACATAAATACATCAAGTTTTTAAAAACGTCTTAGGCAGACCTTAGTTTATACTTAAACAGAATAGACCTAAATCTGATATTTACATTGGCCGCGTACGGGGGTCTCTAATGTCAAAAGAATTATTTTGCTAAACTAAAAGAGTGGTTATTATAATTTTTTAATGGTTTAATTTATCGATAAACCCGTAACACATTTTAATTGGCTTATTTTTGGATCGCTGAGATGTTCGCGCGACTTATCTAAGACTGTTTTGTATGTTTAACGTGCACTCCATAGCGGTAAGAGCCCTCACCTCTTCCCCCACGGTGCTCGGGTACAGCTTGCTTCCCGGTGCGTAGCCATTTTTCTCCAAAGCGAATTGGTCTTCTGTTGTCTTGCGGTACACCGGGTTGTCGAAGTTCATCGATGTAACGTTATGATGTACGTAGTGTCTGTACATAACACCTGCGATCTGTAAAAAGTAGTCATCTTTAATTTTACAAGTGCTTCCTTTTGCAAACACAATGTGAGGGGGGATCGTAACCCAAAATCGATCAGCGACCGCTGTAACTAACGTAAATTTTAATACTATTATTCATTTACTTAACACGTTGACTGCCATGTAGGCGAACTGAAGTAATTATCCCGATTTTTCTCTTCGATCTTCTTACTAAGGTATCGGATTTATCTAGTAGGCTCTGGGAAAGACATATCTGAAGATACCGAGAACGAATCTATTTCTAAGAGACCTAAAATATTAAAACAATGTACCTAACATTAAAACCAACAAAAGGAGGAAAAGTTAGGCAATCCAGACGCTTAGTAACCGAAATCGACATAATTACTTCAGTGCGCCGCGTAGGGTACCTACCGGTAACCGACACGGCAGTCAACGTGTTACAAGAAGGAATTAATACTTTATAGTAAATATTTTTTTGGAAGATAATTTTAATTTGTCTTACATTACCGGCAATGCAAACTCATTTATGAAATGTAATTTTTTATCGTGTTTAGTTGTATCGTGTTTGGAATCACCAATTATATCTATTATATACCTATTTTAATTTTTTTTTATATTATAATAAATTTGAAACATTGTAATTTAACTGTTTATGAAACAGAAAACGGAATGATGTACTACTTTCAGGAAATCAATATTCATTTACTAAGCATAAATACCCCGTATTGTTTGAATGCGTTTTATATGGCCCAGTAATTATATACTATGTAACGAACAATTATTTCAAATACTAAACTCGTCGAATGCGTCAAAGCTAATAGAACAATTGCCGCCAATTAATGTTTAGCCGGCTGGTGGGTATGCCGTAACGTAATGCAATTAAGAATGATTGAAACATAAGTTTGCGATACGATCGCATTCCTTGCTGAAAAGTTAAGGTCGTTTAATTTCGGTAATTATAATATTTTTTCGTGTGCATATTTAATTAGAACAGGTGCGTGATCGATATTTATAAGTACTAGAGACTATAATAATTAATTGGAGTTGTAAGTTTGTACACTACTATGATTGTATTTTATACTTCTATAATCACAAATTTCGCCAAAGCTACACTATAAAAAAATATTAATAAAGACAAACAATATTTAATCTATTCTCAATGTGACCACAAACGTCAAGAACAACAGTTTGACAATAAATAGTATGCATGCGTGTGTGCGTCAAATACGTGGTATGTAGTGTGTGTAATGTTTTCTTTATTGATTTAATGTATCTTTTATGCATTATTTTAAAAAAATATTAGAATTGTGCACTTCTTCTCTATATTCTCTTTAAGTGTGGAAAATTCATTCCTCCGTCCGCGCAATTTTCGTAAAAAGGGATACAAAGTTTTTGCTTCACGTATTAATATATAGATATTCGTGCTAAATTATTTTATGGGAGAGTCGTGCGGCGCGGCCATATTTGCTTCCGTGCTGAGTTTTGTAGAATATTTATTCCATTTAAAACATTAAAACAAAGATACATTCAAGTTGCTTAGCTATTTAAGGTTGTCCTTGATGATTTTGTTGACGTAGAAACGTGTCGCAGAAAAGAGTTTCGTAATTTCTCAATGGTAATCGCACACATGGCACGTCGGTCGATGAATAAGTAACTCATCGTAAGGACAATACTGAATTAATGAGGTCGAAAGGTAAACAATTGAAGCAGTATCGGGATTGGTTTGATTTGTTTACAAAAAAAGAAGGAAGTTTCTTTAAATAATTACTAAAGTGTAAAATGAATCTACACTAATATAAAAAAAAAGCTGAAGAGTTTGTTTGTTAGAACGCACTAATCTCAGGAACTATTGGTCCGAAAATTCTTTCAATGTTAGATAACCCATTTATTGAGGAAGGCTATAGGCTATATTATAACATCACGGTAATACCAACACAAGTGTAGCACCAATAAATAATGTTTCAAAATAGGGGGTTTAAATAGTTCCTTAACATTCTATAATTCAAATGTATTTTCACTTTCTATGTAAATGTAGTGGGGATAAAATTTAGCGTTCTGCCAAAGTAGCTAATTATTCCACGCGGACGGAGTCGCGGGCAAAAGCTAGTGATTTATAAAAGAATCCTTACCACTGCAGCCAATAATAAAACTCCAGATATCACTGCTACCACGATACCGGCGACCACTCCGGCATCGCGACCGCTGTTTGAGATTTCTGTTCCGACTTTTGGTGTTTCTGGTACACCTAGAATAAAGAAAAATATATTTAATATTGATTTTTTGGAGCCTGATTTAATGATTGCGTCGACTCCTTCATGAAAAATATGTACCAATGTTATCAAAATACAGTCGAATGTATTTTGTTTTAAAAATGTATGTTATTTTAAATTTCACTGAGAGCAGAAGCTGTAACATGTTAATTCGATAGTTTATTTAAAATTTAAAGTTAGATACACGTGTAAAATGTTTGAATAATATTAGTATTGAAGCAAATTCCTCCACCAAAGAAATGATCAGTCGAACCACACTCAGACACACTCGACAAAGACACAGAATGCTACAACTTGACAATGATTAGTGTACTTCAATGGATCAGTAGTGAAACAGTAAGTACGTGACACACGAAATCGCAATGACTAACTGTCGACGATATTTTAACCGTAAAGTTTCATGTCGCGTAGGCGTTCTTACCGGATAGCATTAGGCGTTCTATTTACAGATGTCGTCAATGTAACGTGCCAACTAAGACTATTTAACTAAAATATCTTAGTCTATACTTTATTAGCTTTTATATTTGCGTTTTGTTAAAATATTTAGTCACAATGTTAACAGGAGTATAGAAAAAAAAAAACAAACAAAAAAACGGACAGGAAGGAAGGAGTTATCAGATGGGATGTTTATCTCGCGATTAGAATTCTATACAATGGGATGGACCCTTCGCATGCAATCATAGTTTCGCAATTATTCATGATTGAACAAACTGTGAATTGTTAATGAATGAAATATTCTTCTACTAGTATACACTAGTTTTAATTTCTTTATCATAATGTCAGTACGTGCCGAACTCGGATATTTTATACGTATTCCCAACAACCTTACATCACAATAAAATGTTATTAGTTAAAACGAATTACAAACATGCACCCAGAATTAATCTGTGTGTCTTCTTTTCAATGTCTACATAGTTTAAATTAATTTATGAAATTGCATTGAATAATACGTTACCATCAAAAATTATATTTTTCAGTGGCAACTGAAATACTTTGGCATATTTAAAATGAGATTCTATGACTGGTTTCTCAGTTGTGTCCGGTATTCGGCCCAGAGATGCGTCTTCCAAATATAAATCGATAAACTGCTGATTATTGTTGTTCAGTTCCTTCTTATCGCTTTCCCAGTAGACCGGCATTGGTTCAGTTTTTTCTGAATCGGTCGTTGGATCTTTTTCCGTTACGGTCTCAGTCTCTTCGGCGGTCTCGGCTTGCTCTGTTTTCCAGGCTTCGTGTGCTTCCTTTGCGAGAAGGACGATTCCTTCTCGGAGTATTTTCAACATATGGTTTAAAACTTCCGTTTAACCGATCACGTACAAAACCGTATGACCACTTTTGAATTTAGCAGTTTGGCATGCCCTGCAAATCAGTCAATGAAATCCCATATTGAAGACACACAGATATTCAATTCATACATTCACAGTATAGTTCTAGCTCGGTTAGTAAAAGTGTGATAAACCTTACTGGTTAGTTTGAGAGACAAGCCTCACACCAGAAACTTTCAACTAACGTTATCTTGATAAAACATGATCAATATGAATTTGTTACGATAAAAAAAATATATAAAAAGAAATCGGATTTCTAATTGCGGCGTTTGAATCTTTACTTCTGGCTTCAAAATAAACTTTACTCACTAACTTATTATATTCAGATAAAATTACTGCAAATCATTTATTAAAATTTGGGCCAGCGTCAATCGCCGCAAATAGCTATTAGTCGATAGTGAATGAAGACGTGAATGAGGAGAGGATTCAAATCATAATCGGGAATTAGGTTTAAAATACTCACTGCTTATAGGTTTTTTCTCAACTACTGTTCCATTTGAACTGTTACTCGTTTTATGTAACTCTGCATCTCCTTTTATTGCATCTGTAGATATTGCGAAAATAAAACAAACTTTGTTTTAACTGATGATTTCAATGTGCGGATCGTAAATATGTGTTTGTTGTCGGTATTTGGATGGAAGGTTTTAAAAAAAAAATTGTTAACACCGCACTACACGTTGTAGTCGATTCAAATCATGAAACCGAATGAGGGATCGGACAGGTCGGAGTTACTGGCCGCGCGTTACTGCACTGACGTCGCGTCCCCCCTACAATTTCGTGCAGCCGGCTAACAGCAGCCACGGCTCGGTTCTCGGTCGACGTGTTATATTTATCGCTGCCCCGCGACTTTGCTTATTCATTTTGTGTGTGTGTGTGTGTTGTCGAATTCTTTGATTTACGTAACGAGGAATGTAAATCTATAATTATATTTCCTTAGACATACGACATAATCCAAACTAACTATCGACGGTTTAATTTCGATTTTTTATTATTAAACTATTTTTTATTTTGAAACACTTCAGTCATAATAGTTGGAAATAACAATAACAAAGGCAAGATTAAACCGTAATAGTTTGTGTGTACTTCTAATTAAGTGTTATATTTTTTTAAAGTTCTCAAATAGTAAAACAACGGCGTGGCAAACAAAAATTTAAAGTTTACAAACAGCTTTTTAGCAGCTTTAACGTGGAAATATTGTTGTTTCAAATCGAACACTATCAACCTTAACATTGCTTCTTAATATATAATACTAGCGACCCGCCCTCGCTTCGCTTCGGAAACATTAAAACACACATGAAACCAAAAAAATAAAATAAAAAAAAATGAAAAAAAGTAGCCTATGTTCATCAGGGACAATGTCGGCTTCTAATGGAAAAAGAATTTTTCAAATCGGTCCAGTAGTTTCGGAGCCTATTCGAAACAAACAAACAAACAAATCTTTCCTCTTTATAATATTAGTATAGATTGTTGTATAAGTTTAACCTGTATAATTTTTAGAAGATACAGACTGACATACAACCTTTTTTTTATATATAGGTAGACGGCGTTCTGGGTTTTGAACGCACTGACTCAACAAAAGGTGGCGTGATGTCGTGACGTCACGTCGCCTTATTCGCCAGCCGGTGGGTTATTGGGCGTACGGCGCTTCATTTCAACATTTCGTTCGATACTAGGCCTCTATTCACCTCTCACATTCACACGGCGCGTGACACACCTGTAGAGTGAATATTGAGAGAGAAAGAGAGAGAGAGAGTATTCGTTATTTTACCCAAAAAAACAAATAAACAGTGCGATACATTAAATACAAGAAAGTACAATTGGCGGTTGAATGTTTCTCATTCAACACTTTTATTATACATTCTTTAAATTGCTTTTATTACGGATTAATTACGATTTATTAATATTCACTTAGCACCTCCGAAGGATTTAGATGTCTACTTAATAATGTAATGATGGATTTAGAATTACTTTTATCTCTGTCAGTCTGCTAATTCCCACTGAAGGTTACGTTTTGCTTAATACATATTATTATCATTTGTATACATTATTATGTCTACTCGTAAATTCACCCACATTCTGAACGATAATGACATACATAAACAATAAGATGACTAATTGTTACATACTATAATCATTAACGTGTGATAAGAAAACGTATGGAAGGCGTGGTTTATTTCCAATCTTGTACATGGAATTCTAGGTATGAACGTGTATCAATGTTGTAAAAATGTTTTCCGACGATAAAAAAAAACATCGTACGATATGACGCAATCGAGTGACGTGCAGCGTTACGTGTCGACCGTGTGTGTGGCTGTATTTGATATTCGGCATTGAAGTCGCGTTTCGAAAAAAATTACTAAAGAAATGCATTAATGGCGACATAGATCCAGTATGATATTATCTTATTCTCTTATATGAATTAAATTAACAATCAACTTAATGTTTTTATTTTTTATTGCTTAGATGAGTGGACTAGCCCACCTGGTGTTAAGTGGTTACTGGAGCCCATAGACATTTACAATGTAAATGCGCCACCCACCTTGAGATATAAGTTCTAAGGTCTCAAATATAGTTACAACGGCTGCCCCACCCTTCAAACCGAAACGCATTACTGCTTCACGGCAGAAATAGGTTGAGTGGTGGTACCTACCCGTGCGGACTCACAAGAGGTCCTACCACCAGTAAGAACACTTATAGATAGATATACACCAGATATACCAGATATAACACTTTAGTAAGTATACACTATACTAACATTCAAATGATTTCGTAAACTTGTATCTTCAATAGTAAATAAATATACTAAATGACATTGCTAAGCTTGTTTTAAATTTCCTGTTTTTTTTAACTGTCAAGGAACTCTAGTTCCGAAATTGCTCATCATTCACAAACAGCTAGAAGGTCTTTTCCAGAATCCAATCAAGAACTTCAAGTTAGATTCATGGTTTTTGCTGGTTCCGTCGTTGTTAATACAGGAAATGAGTTATATAAAAAATATATTAAGGTCTACTCTAATATAACATTATAGTATGTACACTGAAATAAAATCATATCAGTTAATGTATTATTATTAAAATTAGATTATCGAATTATTTTAAGAATTCAAATTGAAAAGTTTAAATAAACCCATGTACCGTAATGGCCCAACAAAGAACTCATTGAAATCTTAATCGATCAATCATTGATTCAATGATTCTAAATTTGTATTTTGTTGACCCGGTCAATTGTATCACAGTGGATGCTTCAATAGTATATCTTAATTTTTTATTGGTTTTTTATCTTAAATGCGTCTTGAATCAGATTCTTTCAAAGGCTTTATGAAATTTTTGTTCAAATAGCTCGTTACACATTGTAATTAAAAATATTAAACAAATTATACCGATCTGCTGATATAACTTTCGTATTTTACAGAAATCTTATTCTTTTAACTTAATATAATTGAAAGAATTGAATGAAACGACGTAGGTCTATTTTGCTAACATTTCCTAGGTGCCTTGATAAGACCTTCATCAAATTGAACGGAAATAAATGGACATAAATTCCTGAAGCACGTGTCTGTGAATAAAAAATGACCTAATCAGTACCACTTAAACGGTTCACGAATTATAAGTTTCGGACGCACATTGTGGTCCGACGGCATTTTGGCTGTCAATGCCTGTCTTTTGAGACAAGTAAACACGCTAACGTAAAGATTAGAAGACGACGAATGATCCACCTATTTTCTTTTTCTAATATAAAATGTATGCGAAGAGTATTTTCCAGATGCGCGTCGGTAACTTTTCTGTTTGATTGACAGAGGCCCCCCCGCTCAATACTAACTGGGAGAAACTATGCAGCTTAATTAAGCGTTTGGGATGGTATGGATACGTGATGAGACGAAATGAAAATGAGGTTGGTCAGAGAATGTCAACTATGAATGTGGAAGGATATAGAGAAAGAGGCAGACCTAAGAAGACATGGATGGACTGCGTGAAAGAAGATATGGGTAAGATTGAAGTGAGCGAAGAAATGGTATAGAAGAGTATGGAAGGGGAAAACATGTTGCGCCGACCCCAGGTGACTGGAAGAAGGGCAGGATAATGATAATGAATGACAAAAACAAAATAGCGCAACTGTGTAAAAAAAATTTTTTCGACAAATATGTCGAAAAATTAATAAAAATTCCAATTGCTTCTCAAAGCTTTCACAGCGAATGTTCCTCTTCGAAATACAAGTCTACTGCGGCCTAAACATCTGCATTCCATGAATATTCCTGGCCTAAACTTTTGTTTTTAGATTTTGGGGACATGGAAGTTAAAAGTTTCCAAATCAGATGAATAAGTTTGGTGGTCAGTGATTCGAAACCACAGTCGCGTGTTTGAATCATCAACTCGGCTGATGTGTGAACGATTTGATGTTACAACAATTATTTCCTGTCCTGCATTTTTATATTTCATTTTCTATTTAAGTAAAAGACGCAAAATCGTGCAATACAGTTTCTTCTTTCGATATTTAGAAGTTGATCTAACGTAATAATATCCTTGGCATTCCAAAAGAATTGATATAGCATCACCTTATCTGCACCTTATTTAATTTGCTTTAATTGGGGTCATGGCCCTAGTCTTTTGTAGCATTTTGTTTCTTGTTTTGACCTTAGAATATAGTGGTAAACTTAGATTCATTGTCCTAAAATAATGATTATCTATCAGATTAGTACCCTAAAAGAAACAAATCACCCTCGATATTTTTAAATTCTGCAACCCATTATTGGTACAATCTGCAACCCCCAGTCGCAGAAAACAGCAAATTCCCTTGGTGTTGTTTGCTTGGCTTTAAATCTAATCAGGTTTTAATAATTTTTATTAAAAACTAATATGACCTAATTAAATAAAGTACGATTTTCCGATGTCTCCAATATTGATAATAATTAGGTCCATACATATATTGGGATTGGAGGTAAAATTAGATCTATTTAGGATTATTAATTGAACATTTACAGTTTAGGAAAATTACAGATCGAAATGTGCTATAAAATTCAATTTCTTTTCAATCCACCCATGTACTACCACTTACTTCATGAGTAAGGTTAATCGAAAGATATTATTTCTTAAAACATGTTTGAATCATTATAATATGACTAAGGCAGTTGAAATTATAAGCATAAATGTGTGTTGGCCTGAAATAAAGCCGTACTCACTATTTTTACTATCGCGGTTCTGAATAAATGAGTACGATAAGATTGAGTGTAACGAATATCCAGTCGAATCTAGTTTCATAATAAAGACTAGCTTATGAAATATAATATTATAATCAAATAATTCGAGCTTATTGATTTAATGACTAGCGTGCTTGATAACCGATGTACATACTAACAAAAAAACTAATCAATCATAACTAACATCAATTAAGACGCTTTAAATTTCCGGCATATTACAAGGCTATTTTCAAGAAACAATGTGTTTTTCAGTGTTTTTCGTTGGAAAAGTTTGTGATCGAAGTTTTCGTGTACGCAGCGCGAGTGCCGCTTATCATCTTCAGTCACGAGGTCTAATTCTCAATTACATAATATAATATACTAGAGGTCCCGCAGTAGTTGAAATTCGACTATAATAATTGGAATTGTAAGTTTGTACACTATTATGATTGTATTTTATACTTCTATAATCACAAATTTCGCCAAGGCCACACTATAAAAAAATATTAATAAAGACAAACAATATTTAATCTATTCTCAATTTGACAACAGACGTCAAGAACAAAAGTTTGACAATAAATAGTATATATGCGTGTGTACGTCAAATACATGGTATGTAGTGTGTGTAATGTTTTCATTATTGATTTAATGTATCTATTATGCATTATTTTAAAAAAAGATTAGCACTGTGCACTTCTTCTCTATTTTCTCTATAAGTGTGCAAAATTTCATACACCTCCGTCCACGAAATTTTCGTAAAAAGGGATACAAAGTTTTTGCTTCACGTATTAATATATAGATAATATAACAATATACATATATTGTTTATTGACTACTTCAAAATTCAAGGTACGGCTAATACAGGCAAACAAGCTCACAATACCGTACACAAACTTACACCTTTCCTGGTGATAGGACCTCTTTTGATTATTGGTGGTAGGACCTCTTGTGAGACCACACGGGTAGGTACCACCACCCTGCCTATTTCAGTCGTGAAGCAGTGAAGCGTTTCGGTTTAAAGGGTGGGGCAGCCGTTCTAACTATACTGAGACCTTAGAACTCGTATCTCAAGGTGGGTGGCTTATTGTAGATGTCCATGAGCTCCGGTAACCACTTAACACCAGGTGGGCTGTGAGCTCGTTCACCCATCTAAGCAATAAATAAAAAATTGCAAACAAATAATATTCATATTTTGTATCGTCGCACTAACCGCTTCCTTACTTAGATTGATAAAAACGTATATGCTTAAAACTCATAATGAAGTGTCTGATTGTGACAGGACCCTAATAAGTTGTGAGATCATAAGTAAATAAGGCTGCCAAAAAAGTACTAAATAGCACACTATAAAAAACTGTTGTTGTATTTTTAAAGTAACATTGAAAATCAATTATAAACCACAAAACATATATGACAACATAACTTCAAATGTTTACAATTAGTTTTATTGTAAGCTTATGATTAGAAGACCCCAAAAATTCAAACTTAAATCAAGGTTAAAATCAACGCACGATGGCTGTAGCCTCGTGACGAACAAGCCAAATTGAATTTACATATTGTAATTAACGTTGTATCCTTAAACGAAAAAAGAAAAGTGTTCACGAAATGCTTCGTGGTTGCAATGCATTTTTACGTTTTATTATTTAAAACAATACATAAATTTATTCCTAAGTTGTACAATTAACTCGAAAATGTTAGAGCTCTAAAATTCGCGTTTAAATAGAAATAAAAACGGTTCAGTTCTAAAGTATTACTTTAGTTACGTTAATTTGATTCTTCATAATGTGTGACCTCTAGACTCCGTCCACTTAGCAGATAGTGAGTCGAATGATTTCAAACACTTTTTTTTTTCATTAACCAAAAAAGTGTATGAGCTCCGTGCTTACAAATCTGCTATTAGGTTTTATGTAGTCCAATACAATATCGTATGCAAATCGCGTTGACTAATCCCCGATGCTCCTGAAATTATTATAAAACAGAAGGAAATGGTACTTACTGTCTTCGACGCACATCTGGTCATCAGGCAGGAGCTTTAGCCCATTGGGACAGGCGCAGGATACGCGAGGTGAGTTGGGACCGAACCTCGGGGCGGGCAGGCACAGGTGAGAGCAGTGACCGTTGACAGCAGCGCAGTGATTCACACCATCGGGTTGCCGGTACGGGTGATAAACGTGAATCACCATCGGGTTTTGGAGCTGATGATGATAGCATATTGTATTACATCACGGCTCAGACTAAAGCACGAATTTAATGCAGACCTTGAACGATATAATGCGATGAATCATTGAACTCTAAATTTTTTAATGTTAGAATTACGTGAACAAAATAGTGTTTTTTTTATTGGTTAGATGGGTGGACGAGCTCACAGCCCACCTGGTGTTAAGTGGTTACTGGACCCCATAGACATCTACGACGTAAATGCGCCACCCACCTTGAGATACAAGTTCTAAGGTCACAAGTATGGTTTACGGCTGCCCCACCCTTCAAACCGAAACGCATTACTGCTTCACGGCAGAACTAGGCAGGGTGGTGGTACCTACCCGTGCGGACTCACAAGAGGTCCTACCACCAGTGTAAAAGTTGAGCTCTAAATTTTAAATATTAGAATGACGTGAATTAAATAGACTATACATTTTTTTTTATTGCTTAGATGGGCGGACGAGCTCACAGCCCACGTGGTGTAAAGTGGTTACTGGAGCCCATGGACATCTACAACGTAAATGCGCCACCCACCTTGAGATATAAGTTCTAAGATCTCAGTATAGTTTGTTATTCTTAAAACAAATCTCTTCCAGACAACCCTGGTTGGGGAAAAACCGTGAGCTTAACGTCACATTCGCAACCAATAAAACTTATGTTGATTTCGTATTCAATGTGGCAATTGTGGACGAAAATTTTCGCATGTAATAAAATATTTACTGTTTAACATTCACGTACGTGTAATCAATTCTGCAACTAAAGCAAATTTCTAATTGCTCACTAAAATAACACTGTATCACTGTAACATGAACAATCCTAAAAATTTATTGGTACATAAATACTGTACCAACATCTACCGAATAAACTCTCCAGAACAATTATGACTTAATAAAACAATGAAAAAATATACCATTCTATAAAGGACATGGGCCACTCTCAATACATTGCACGGCCCACTAAACGAAGTTCAAGGACAGTAATGAAATTAAGTTTAAATAACAGACTATATGAGTCGACTATTATCAAAGGCGGCAATCTGACTTTTGGACAATGATTGGTAAATCAGAAAAACGAATTATTGACTTTGTATTCCATCGGCAGTCACAAAACTCTTCGGAACGACATCTTAGATAAATAACAGGTTAACTATTAACCTTTATTTAATGCAGGTTTTGAACCGTATTCTTTGAAGGAGACGACTATATTCAAATAAATCTGTATTGACATATGAATAAAATTTTGTTGTCCAAATGCACAGATTGCCGCCTTTGATAATAGACGACTCATATATCCCTTTTGTTATAAACAAATTAAAATCAATATTGTTCATGGGGATACAGAGATATTTAGAAAATAAGATAAGAATTTTAGGTTATATCATATGATTTTGCTGTCAATACACTGACACTTTAACATCATCATCAGCTTAAATATTATTTATATTACCTACTATAGTTTATGACACAGACCTAATTCTAAATATTCTTAAATATAATAAGCAGGTATAATAATATCCAGGTAGGCAGGAAGGCAGGTAAAATAATAATATAAAAGTGCGAAAACGAGTGATCAAAATAAATGTAAAACGTATTTAAAAGTATAAAAATAGATTTTTGTTTAGATATAATATTTTATATGAAATTTAAAATCCATTAATTAAATATGTTAATATGTGTTCGGTAGGCAGCGGCTTGGCTCTGCCCTGGCATTGCTGAAGTCCATGGGCGACGGTAACCACTCACCATCAGGTGGGCCTTATGCGCGTCTGCCTACAAGGGCAATAAAAAAAAAAAAATATATATATATATATTTTTTTTGCTAGTTTTTTGCAATCTAATGTTTTTTTAAGAAGATTTAATGTGAATTGTTTGAAATATAAATATATTTTACCTATGGCAACTCCTTTAATATTATCAATGTAGCTTAGTCAAGCTAATTTCTTTTTATTTATGATTTTAATTATCCCACCATTAAAATACCCTTAAATTTTACAATAAGTATGTAAAAATGAAATGTTTTTTTCTATAGATATTTCATTAATGTCCTTGAGAGCACGAGTAGCTGGGTCGAAAATGGCCCATGTCCTTTGGTATCTACACTAAAACTTCAGTAACAGGACATATTTCAACATATTTACATTTCAGACATATAAATTTTTGACGAAGCGTTTGAGGTGATTTTATAATCTTAATGCGCCATTACAAACGTCTTAAACAAAAGTCGATAAAAAATAAGCACCTCGCATTATTTCATGTTAAAACTTCGACAATTGTTTTCATAATTCGATATTGTTAAAGTGTATATCTCTGAGCAATTTTTTTTTATTGTTTTCACAACTTCGCACCTTTGACAATACGCCATTGACGCATGTTTGAGTACCATATTATGAAGTACCTATTATTTAAAATTTATGTTCGTACACTTCTGTAATTTTCCCATTTTTTGTAGTGGTTAATGTATTCACGAATTGTTCGAATCCTCAGTAAGTAGCAGTCAAAGAAAAATTAACCAAAATTTAGCTATTAAATAATGGAGAGAAACAAGCCTTAGCTCTATTTTTTAACGCATTGAATAAAAGACGGTTCAGTATGGCGAATAGAAACGTTGAGCATTGTTGTTGAGCTCAGAAGAATCAATTTCCTTCGAAACCCAAATAAAAAATAAGTGATTATAATGCTTGTATGATAAAAACATACTTTATTACCAAGAAAATCGTATTTTTTGTTACAAATATGTTCATGAATATGTAAGAAAATATCATAATTTAACCTTGAGATTTTTTCAGATTTTCTTGTGTTTAAAATTACTTTAGTTAGTATCTGCATTGTTATCTAGCACAAAATCACGACCGACTTCTACAATTATCACCTTTATGAAGCAATGAAATTAACTTGCATTTTTTTTTAATATTTGGTCTTTAATTGTTAATTCTGGCTAAGGCACCTGAAACTGCACAGATCTTTAAATAACATTGCGTATTTCTAGGACGTAACAGTCGTTCCGATTCTAAGAATATGATAGCCGATATTCCGACGGAATCGTATCTCAACTTCGAGATTCAAGATGAGTTTTATTTACGTTGTGAAACTCGAGTCGATAACGACGACACCCATCGTCGGTTGTTTTGTACTGTATGTCCCATTGGGTGCGCTCCGATGATTTGTTCGAGATTCGAGGGGGTAATCCTTTTGGCATGGCCCATCACCGGAGCAGAGTTCATCCATATTATCTGGATGACGCAGTGGACTATGGCCACAGTGCGTTTTCAGATTTCTTTTGACGTGATAACGTGTTATAAATCGACGAACACCGGCTCCACGCACGAAAAAGTGTCACGTTCCGCCTGAGCCTGAGTGTGCAAACGAGAGCGCGAACATAGTGATACAGAGACACGATCGGCCCAAGCGTTGGCTTGTGACATATTTATCTCTCTTCTCGCGTGACGTCACAGCTAACAGTTCGAATAATTCTGCTACTGGAACGCCGCCACGCGAGCTTCTTCGAGAACTTCTACAATAAGCTCCGTAAATCTCGAATCTGTTATCTAATTCATAAAGTATGCAATTTTTCATCAATGTTTCTTTATGACGTTATCACGTAAAACTATCGTCCGTAAACCGACTTTACAGACAACAATTTTTTTTTTAACACGTCAATAGTATGTACGAGTTTAGATTGAATCTCCCTAGATGGTGTTTCCTGAGCGCTAAGCCGTGTCTTTCTTCAAATCATTTGCCATCAAGATTTTATTTATTTATTCCTTAGATGGGTGGACGAGCTCACAACCCACCTGGTGTTAAATGGTTACTGGAGCCCATAGACACCTACAACGTAAATCCGCCACCCACCTTGAGATATGAATTCTAAGGTCTCAGTAGGTATAATTACAACGGCTGCCACACCCTTCAAACCGAAACGCATTACTGCTTCACGGCAGAAATGGGCGGGGTGGTGGTACCTACCCGTGCGGACTCACAAGAGATCCTACCACCAGTAATTACGCAAATTATAATTTTGAGGGTCTGATTTTTATTACACGATGTTATTCCCGTACCGTGGAAGTCAATCATGAAAATTTGTCAAGTACGTATTTTATTAGAAAAATTAGTACCCGCCTGCGAGATTAGAACACCGTTGCATCGCTAGATACGAATGCACCAGACTTCTTATCCTTTAGGCCACGACGACTTCATTGGACAAAATGCTCGTGTGCCTACACTGGCAATCAATGAAGCTCTTGCTTTATAACCATTTAAGCAAGAGGTGAAGAACTCATCCGTCGATGAAGGCTAAATTCATATATAATGTTATTCAAATACGATTGCAATTTAATTTATCCAGTTTAATGTTATATAACCCGTGACCAGCGGTTGGCTTTTTTGTTTTTGGAACGAAGTTTCTTATGGCGCGTATGCGGAGGGGTACCCTAACCGGGGAAAAACGTCCGTAACGTAAGATTTTTACTACTAATGCACACAATGTACGACTTAACTTTGTAATAACGTACAAAAAATAACATTTTTTTTATCATTCATTGACCACGATCTCAGAGCGCTCGTTTGCGCAATACACTAACTCTTATGCAAACAACCGTGAATGAAGTGTACCACAATAAGTTCACATCTTACCGGATGACCGTGGATTGTTGCGAATCCTCCAGTTTTATTTTCTTTATACCTCGAATAGAACTTAAAATTAATATTTTTATATTAAGGGACTTCGTTCCTATCCGGTGTCCCACGACACCACACATCTTTTTTTATTATGTCTGTAGTAGATTTAGTATTTTATTCGGTTTTCGTGTAGGTATCGCAAAGGTTATTAAAATTGCTTTCACTACTGACGAAATGACGTCAGCCAGTCGTTCGTGACAACAAGTCCGAAATAATATAATGACAATAAAAAACGCTAGAGATTTCATCGCAACAGCAGTTTAAATTATGTAGTATTATAGATTTGTTTGTTCGCTCGAGAATGAAACTAAAACTAAAAGATAGATTATAATGAAAT